AACAAACTAATAGAAGGTATAGAAGGTTATGACACAACTCGAAAAGAATTTTTCACACTTCATGCTATAGTGGTCAATTGGTCTAGTGACATTCCGGGGTTGACAAAAATAATGTGCTTAACTAGACATAATAGTTATCGAGGGTGCCGATATTGTAACTTAAAAGGCGTTTGTACAAATCATATTTATTATCCTACAACACCACCTACGGATGTTAATACTATGAGATATTGTGCATCCAATCTCCCAAGTCGAACACATGAGAAATGGAAGGAAAGGCTCAAGAAAATCCGTGATGCAAAATCTGAAAAAGAACGAAGTGAATTAATTACTAATTACAGTATTATATTAAGATTAATGATAATATTAAATAGGGATATTAAGTAGTTCAAAGTAGTTCAAAGTAGTCTTTTGTGCATTATTAATTTTGTAACTGGCTACAAAGGTTTTACTATTTTTTATAATAAGAAACTCAATTTTTTTTTTATTTTAAACAATTTTAATTAATAGTTTATAAAAATTTAATAAATTATAAAATTAGTAATAGACAAAAGATTACTTTGAATTACTTTGAACTACTTTAACATCCCTAATATTAAATAATACTAATTAAGCTATTATTTATATAGGTATTAATAAACGTAGTATTCTATTCGATTTATTAACAATTCATTTTCCAGACTCATTTACTGTAGACATTATGCATTTATTTTATAAAAACATTGCTAAATATATGTTTGAACATTGGACTAGAACTTTTTTTTCAGATGAATTACAGAATAAGGAGCTATATGTACTAAAAAAATCAGTCTGGATTGATATTAGAAAACAAATGCATGCATTTCATAAAGATTTGCTATCAAACCTTGGAAGACTGCTACATAATATCATACTATATCATCGTGGATATAAGGCTAAAGAATGGGTTAGGGTGTGGTGACTTAGTGAAGTGGTTAAGTTGTCGCACCCGAGTATCAAGGTCTAGAATTCAATTCCTACCGGTAACAATATTTGAAAACTATATCTTTTTTTTTTTTTTTTTTTTTTTTTTTTTTGGTTTTAAGGTGACCTCTTAGTCGATTCTCTTTATTCAGTTATTAGTCAAGTTTTACCGTACGTTAGGCCCCTTATGACACCCGTACAGTATACATATTTTGAAGAGTACAAACTAGCCACACATACAACTTTTGATTGCCTATTTAAGTAGTCCGCTTATTACTAAGTTTTATACTAGATACTATACCTATAACCCAACTAGGGGTTATCTATTTAAACCCTTTGCACCATATGTGGTCGACTATTATTATAACCAAATTGGGTTAAGAACATTGACTTAGGACTTTAAAGCAAGCTCAACTAGTAAGCTCTTTGTCCTCGGGATAAACCTGCTAGAGCCTTCTATATCCACAATCCAGCTGACCTAGTCTTCGGTTGATATGCACGAGCCGAGGCTCACCACTTGTGGCCCAGTTTCTATATTTGGCCTGGTCGCCGCTACACAACCTACTTCTGCCCTTATAGAGTTTACCCAAATCCCGGTCCACACGTTACAGACTTTCTACGGTATCCCTAGCTACCCAAACTACCAATCCAGATAGCCCGGAAGGGCTATGACCTGCCCATGGTCCCCACGGTTGGGTCCTTTTCCTTAGGTTTTTCTTCCGGCAGCCTGGTTGGTGGAGTGCTGCCAAACACTTCAGTCCCGTTCAGTTTTGCTAGTTCTTCCGATAATAATCCTTTACATAGTACCGTTGAAGATCTGTGCTACCTCTCTACTCGGGACTTGCCAAGTGAGTGCCCTACTGCCATATCGGCCCTGTGGCTTTCTACGATTCAGTATATATTTGTGTAACCTCTCTATTACACAATGGCCCCAAAATCTTCCAGTTCCGACGAATTGGTACGACCACAGTTACAGGGTCTCAAGTTTTCCCGGCCACGGCATTAGTTACTGAATCCGTTTTTCGAAATTCAATTTTCGTCTTCAGTGGAAATTGAACTTGTACTCAACCGCTTGGGGGTGCAACAACTTCACCACTTCACTAAGTCGCCACACCCATTGAAAACTATATCTTGAATATCCTTCTATAAGAAGAATATACGAACTTAATTGGTACCGGTTTCCGACTATAATTGTGGTTATACCAACTTGATTTGAAAATAGATTGGTGCCCGTTGTATAAAGATCCCACAAGGCTTATTCTAATTAGGAAAGTTACTCGCAAAGTCCAGAATATAGTATTCATATCCGAAAACCGGTACTGCAAGGAGTCTTGATTAGGAATATGGAGGAATGCAAGCCGGTATATATAAACATACCCTGAATATTGTAAAATAGTCAGTGCAAATCTACGATAAATCTATATAAGAGTTATCTTAGCTATATAGAGTAGAACTATATGTTAGCTTTACAAATATGCAAATATGTAAAAACACAAACACAAATACAAACATTAACTAAGACTAGCTCATCTAAAACTTGAGGATAAGATGTTAAAAGGTCCTTTGAAAAAAGGGTCAGGGATGGTCCTCAATATGTTAGTTATCCCTGTTAATATATTCACCAACCTTCTATTAAACCGCCACAATAAAGTTATCACTAATCTTGGACTCACCAATTCATATATAGTTAAAAATAGCATAGATCAAGGAGAAACTATTACTCCTCTCTTTTGGAGAATTTACTATGACCCTCTTATTGATAAAATTTCTTCA